TACCTTATAGAGAATTAATAATAATTAAAGAATTTACTTATTTTTTTGGTTTTTATATTATTAAGATATATAATATATTACTTAAGATTATTATTAATTAAGGATTATTATTTATATCTAAGTTTTAATAAAGCTTTATAAGATACCTAGGGATTAATTATAAATTCTTTATTATATATTATAAAGAAAGAAATAAATAAATAAAATATATAAATTAAATATTAAAATAATACCTTTAATATTATATTAATTATAAATAAATTAATTAAATTAAGAAATTATTAATTACCTAACTAGCCTATAATATAGCTATAAATAAAAGTATAAAAACTATATTAGCTTATATTAATTTCGGATTTATTTTAAATATTTATTAATAATTATAAGATATTATTATTAACCCTAAGATAATCTTTATTAATAATTAATTATATAATCTATATAAAGAAATATATATAGAACTTAAATTTATTAGAAATAAAATAATAAATTATATTAATAAAAAAAAAATTAAGAGATTAATTTTCTTAGAGAGAGATATAATTTATCTTATAATAAAAAATATTAAAATAAAATAATAAAATAAAAAACTTAATTATAAATATATTAAACCCTATAAAATTAAATAAAAAATCTTAAAAAATAACTATAAACTAAATTTATTATCTAAAATTAAGCTTTATTTAATCTTTTATATTTTATTATTTAAATTAATATAAGATATTATCTAAGTAAAAATAAATAATAAACCTAATATAGAAATTAATAAACTAAAAGAATATATTATAAAAGCTATCCTTAATATAAATAAAATTAATAATAAAATAATATATTTTATTAAATAAAAAGATTATTTTAATTTAGAAAATATATAAGAACCCTTAGAATACCTTATTAATATATAATACCTTTTAAAGAATTTTTATTAATAATACTAAGTATAAAATTATTAAGACTAATAATATTCTAATTAATTAAATTAATAGCCCTAAAGAAATATACCTTTATAATAATAAATAATTCTTTATAGAGCTTATTAAACTCTTTTAAAGTATATAGGCTATACTTAAAAGCCTTATTATTATATACTTTAAGTAATCTCTTTTATTTCTAAATATAAATAAATTTAATTATTATTTCTTTTAAAGTAGCCTTTATTATAGCCTTTTTATCTTCTAAGTACTTATATTTTTAAATATTTTTTATAATTATAAAAAATTAGCTAATAGCTATAAAGGAATATTAATATATATTTATAAAAAAAAGCTATATTAGCCCTATTATATATTACTTTTATATTAATATAATTAAAATAATAATTAAAATAATTAAAAATTACCTTATAAAATAAGCCTTAATAAAAATAATAAATATAAAATATAATTTTAAAATTAAAAGCCTTAATATAAATAAAAAGACCTTATACTTTAGAAAGTTTTTATAAAGAAATATACTTAAAAACTTAATTTAATATTATATTAATAAAAAAAAAAATTTATAAATTAAAGTTACTTATTAATAATATTTAATCGCTAAAATTAATCTTAAGGGTAAAACTAATAAAGAGAGAGCCTTATATTATAGCTATAATATAAGCTAGGCGGGGAATTATAATAGAAATACTTTAATTAAGTAAGGGACTAAAGGGACTAAATATTACTTATATTAATCTAAGGACTAAATATTAAGAATATTAATCTTACCTTAGACTAAACCTAGAGAATATTAATCTAGAAGGTTAATTATAAATATATAAAATATATTTTTTATACTTTCTTATATATTAATTACCTTAGCTATTAATATAACTTAGTTATATTTAATACCCTTAAGTATATTACTAAATATAATTTATATTACCCTTTAAGGCTATATAATATTCTCTTTTATTAATATAAATTAATATAACTAGTTTATCCCTTAGGAATCCCATAATTATTATAACTTCCTAGGCGGCCTTAAGATTTATATTACTTAGTATAATAAAGATAGATATAAGAGAGGTATTTTTTATTCATTAATATTATAAAATATAGCTAAAATAGGTAGTAATTATATATAAATAAGGATATTACTAAGTGCGGGGTCTATATTATAATTTTATAGCTAACTTAGCTTACTAGGTTAGCTCGCCTGGGTCGCTAGACCCATATGAGCCAACGGGTAGGGTTTCTGGCAAAGTGGCTCCTTTTCCTTCAGACGTGCTGATGAGGCATAGGGCTGGTTTCGCGTTGGGGTACTTTGCAGATAATTACGGAACGTGCTACCTGGATTGGTCCTCAGAAGTCAGAACCGTTCAGCAACCGGGGAGGATGAGGTTGCTGCTGGTCTTGAGCTGCTGCGCTGCCACAAGCCCTTGGGATCCGTTGATATGGTACGCGAACCCGAAAGAGAACCACAAGGAGTTGCACAGCGCTTTTGTTGAGCGCAACCCCCTGTGTCGCACTATTTGGAAAGACTACGTCGACAGCGAAGACTGGAAGTGTTGCAAGGATGAAAGCCTGCCGAGGAATGCATGGGGGATTGTCATCCATCCTGCGGAGGAGCCTGACTCTTTCTATCGAGTTGGAGTTTTCACATTGCTTGCCTACAGTGGAGGAATGTATCACTTTAAGAATGTTGCCAACCAAACAATTAAGCTTGTTTGAGGACGGGAGATGGAGAACGTGTTCATGTCAGATCTGGACCTAGCAGCGTGTTTCGGTGGCCATTCGACAGACCGGATGACGACGCTGTGGGTTCACTGATAAACTCTGTTTTCTTTGTTCTTGTAATTAGTGTACACGAGGGAAGCGGAGGGGAAAGAAGCTTATTATTTGAGTTAGCGCAGTATGCGAGGTGGTGGGTGTCTTGCTTTCGAATAGCGTCTTTGCTCTAGCGGAAACCGTTTCAACACTTTGCCACAATCATGGAGGCAAGGAAATCGCTGGTTGATTAAACGAGCGAGATTGCTGATACGGGAAATGATGAGCGGGCTGAGACGTTATATCACAGCCACACCCAGGGTAATACGCCCGCTGAAACCAGCCGGTGACAGAATACTATTGTCGAATTCTCTGTCCTCATCTGTTTTCTCTAGTGTATTCCACGCCAAACGGGATACCGAGTAAGGCTACCGTCTCTCCCGGGTACCTTGTTTATCATGTCTCAGCGCCATCATGTCGCTGATGCCACAACAGGTCTGATCGTCCTGCTCCTCCCACCACCGTGGCCATTCACTCAGGGCGAACCTAGATGTGGATCATGCCGTGTAACGCAGGAGATTCGTTAGAGGTCGCGCTATCAAGCCCGTGAGGGGTTCCAGGTTGGTACCGACGCGTGGAGGCTCACAGCCCTGCTCGACGTCATCTCCGGACCGGAGGATTTCCTTGAGAGACCGGCATCGAACCGGGATGTGTGATGCCAATGACGAGCTTAATCAACACCTGATCTCACCCCTCGCGTCGTGGTTGGTAGACAGAGGCCTCCAGCTGGAGGGCTGTGCCCCCCCTGAACGTCCATCGCTAGCCAAGAAGTGGCTAGCCTTGTTTCCCCCGTTGGTGAATCGAGCAAGGGTCAAATCAAGCTTTGCTTGGCATTTTTTAGCATGCATCTGACAAGCCCTCTCCTCATTAACCACATCAGGATCGACACCGAGGAGCCCGAAGGTCTGGGAAATAAATTGCTCACCCAAAATTGAAGAGCATCACGTAAAAAGTTCCTCTCCCTTGTTTTATTTCTCTCAGTACCTTTGGAACCTCTGTATTGCTTCTCCAACTGAAGTCTCTGTACCAGCTGCCTCCTCTCGCCCAACATGTGGTTGCCGCCTATTAACTTTTTGACGCTGCATTGTGATGCTACCCACTTCTCACACGAGGTATCTTGCATTCATGGCTGATGACGGATTTGCCTAGATGCGTACATCATCTTGATGTGTTTGCTTGCCATTCCCATTCTGTACCCCTACGGGAATCTCAAAGCCATTGATTGCTTCTTTTTCGGGGCCAGCTCGTCGACAGAATCTGGCCTGAATACGTGCGTCGCTTATCCGCCTCTGTTTCTTTGGCTGACCGCTTCTCTGCTCTTTGCAGGGTCGATGTGAAGGAGCTCAAGACTTACCAGCAACTCTACATCTACTTTGTTCCTATGCTTACGAATCTCGGCTTCGTCAACATTATTGTCGTCGTCGTACGCCTACACTGGTTCAGGAGCCACCTTAAGCGTCTTGGTGAGCGATCTTTCAAGCATGGCTGCGGCGCTTCGTATCAAGTTGCATGTGCACGAGGGGGCTAACGTGGTGATGTGACTAGCGCCCCAACTGCACCCTCGCCGACAGCCGGGTAGTTCTGAAGCGGACCCCGAAGACATTCCCGATACGTCGACGATAAAAGCCCCTGACACAGCTGGAAAGCTTCCCGTCGCGGTAGCAAGTGGTAACGATGCCGGGACAACCGGCGAAAGCCCTAGTCAAGCTCCGGTGATGAGCCCGGATAGTGAAAGACCACTCGCGCGCACCACCACCATCACCTTTGACACTTCTACCGAGAAGCATAAAGACGATACCACTCTCTACATTCCGTCGCCGCAGGACCGCGAGCGCGGTAAGACTTTCAGGCCTCATGCGCAGCATAACTATTAACGCTTCCAGGACACCCCATTGTTGAAGAAACTAGAAGAGCCAGAATTGATGTTGATAGCGATGATGGTAAGGCTCTGTAGCTTGCTTGTTCCGCATTATGGCTAATGTTCTCATTTGTAGAAGGTATCAATGGCAATAATGGTATGGTCCTTGCCCAAGAGCAACAGCACAAGCTAACAGACCCAAGATGACCGCATCAAGCCAGTGTCCAGCGCAACCTCTAATAACGAGGGCCCAGCTCTACGCCTTCGCCGCCGATTCAGTGACCGTGACGGCATCCAGATGACTGCAGCTCGTTCCATGGATCGTGTCGCTGATGTCGCTGCATCCATCTTGCTTCTTGGATCCGAGACCAAGCCTAGACCCCGTCCTCCGACTCCTACCCCTCAGAAGCCTCCAGCCTTGAACGACACACCGTTCCTCTCGCGTCAGGCTACTATTGGCCGTAATTCACAGTTCCGTAACCTGACGTCTGATGACTTGGAGGTACTAGGTGGTATTGAGTATCGCAGCTTGAAGCTCTTGCTCAAGATCGTGATTGGTGAGCAAAAGATGAACCTCCAGCCGGGTTGCACTGTAAACTTACCAATTGTAGCTTATTTCTTCGGTATGCACCTGTTTGGCGTCATCTGCCTCATCGGCTGGATTCAGACGGCAAACCCCAAGTACACGGACTATCTTGAGTCAATTGGACAGGACAAGAACTGGTGGTAAGCCCTTCTATCTGGGTCTAACGTTGGGAGCAAAGGCTAAGATCGACGCATTGTGCAGGGCCATTTATTCCGCCCAGACAATGGTGGATAACCTTGGCTTCTCACTCACGCCCGACTCGATGATATCATTCCGCGATGCCAAATTCCCCATGATCCTGATGAGCTTCCTCGCCTTTGCTGGCAATACGCTGTACCCAGTCTTCCTCCGTCTGGTCATTTGGATCATGGCCAAGGTCACGCCTAAGCATTCTTCTACACAGGAGCCCCTTGCATTCCTGCTTGACCACCCTCGTAGGTGCTACACTCTGCTCTTCCCCAGCCAACCAACTTGGATCCTCTTCGCTATAATCTTTGCCCTCAACTTTGTCGACGTCCTCCTCATCATCCTTCTTGACCTCCACAACCCCGAAGTCGCGTCCTTATCCCTTGACGCGCGTATCCCGGCGGCCATCTTCCAGGCTGCTTCAGCGCGTCATACCGGCACTGCCACCTTCAACTTGGCCAACGTCGACCCAGCTGTGCAGCTCAGTCTGCTAGTTATGATGTATATCGCCGTCTTTCCCATCGCTCTCAGCATTCGCTCTTCCAACACTTATGAGGAGAAGTCACTTGGACTGTGGAAAGATGAAGAATCACCGGATGAGGAAAATAGCAAGACGTATTTGGTAACACATATGAAGAACCAGCTTGGCTTCGATTTGTGGTACATCTTCTTGGGCACCTTTTGCATAATCATTGCCGAATCAGACAGGGTTGCCAATGTTGATGAGCCGGTAAGAAGGCAGAGTGCTCTTGACAAATGGACGCGTCTAATGGTGGCTAGGCCTTCTCTGTCTTTTCGATTCTCTTCGAGGTGACCTCGGCATAGTAAGTGACCCCATTACCAACTCGGCGGACTCTGACTCATAAATCTCAGTGGCAACGTTGGCCTGAGTCTTGGCTACCCAACTGTTAGCACTTCTTTGAGTGGCATGTTTAATACCTTTAGCAAGGTCGTAATGTGCCTGATGATGATCCGAGGTCGCCACCGAGGTCTTCCATATGCTCTTGACCGAGCCATCATGTTACCCGATGGGCAAATTTTGGAGGACCCTCCCAAGTCATCTTGATTCCACCATCTATTAGTCTTTCAGCTAGATTGGTTAGAGAGGTTTCTACACAAGGTCTTTTCGACGGGCGCGAACATTTGCTACACAGGGACCTCGAATTGGGGCTCTATTCACTTTTAGCTGACATGAGCTCGGGTTATACACTGGGCCGCTAGGTACGCAGATAGTAAAAGCATTGCTCACGTTGTCAACTGCAATGCATTTGTTGGTTTCCACAAATGACTTCACTTCAATATTTCTATGTAATTGGGAATATGGCCAAAATCAGTGGGCGGTCTCGAAGTATTGGCATCAATCTGGAATTACCTGTGTTGTCGCGGCCACCCATAACTCCGGAGGCTCCTGGCATCGAAGGTTCTAAATTCGTCAAAGAGAAAGCAGAAACGAAAAGAAGGCGAAAAAGAAAAAAGAAAACCAATCAGTGAGTCACACAACAATCAAACAGTCAGTAATACGGGAGCTATGACTCGGTGGCGATGGGGAAATGACTGCGGTATACCTGATCCGGCCTTTGAGGGATTTCTTGGCGTGTCCCGCCTCGTGTAACCAACAGCCATTGTAAATCAGGCAAGGCTAGCTTCAACGGTCAGGGATCCTGTCTCAAACTGTGGGAATGCCAAGGCCAGCCGGGAAGCCAGATGCGCAATAGTGCCAAGCAAAGGACATGACAAGCATGCACATTGCCATTCATCGATCAGATTTCACATGCAACACTTTCCGGGGGAGCCTGTGTAGCGACAGGCCCGGGATTGTCCCTCGTCGGATCATCCAATTAGACATTGGAACGAAAATCTCTCATACTGGGTGTCATCTGACTTGGTTGTGTTGGACACACCACACCGCATGTTCCCGGTGCTTTTAAGATCGGGGTTCTAACTTTACCATTTTCTCTCTCTCCATGTCACTCCCTGCTCGCTGGTTCCTTTCCGGGCATGATACTAGTCCCAAATTTGGTTGCAAGAGCCGTTGATGATCAGCGCCGCAAGCCGCCCAAGGTCGCCATCGTACTGGCTATCCTTGTGTCTGTCCTGATATTGTTAGCCCCCATCATCATTGGCGCCAGATGCGCCCGGCATATCTTTTCACATCGAGCTATGCACGACTCCCCTGAACGGAATCTGTGTCTCACACCGGAGGCACTGAATTTGATGCCAGTGAAGAAGTATAGTGGCACCAAGACCGATGCTCCGAGGACTGGTGGGAACCTCTCCCCAGGGCGGACGGATAGTCTGCAGAGCTGCTCTATCTGCACCGAGGACTTTGGGAGGGGCGTAGAGTTCCGCCCACTGCCTTGTGGCCATAGATTCCATCCTGACTGTATCGATCCGTGGCTATTACAGCGCTCCTTGACTTGCCCTCTCTGGTGCATTCCCTAGCCATCCATCATCGGGCAATAACTTAACTCTTTATAGTCGCCTCAACGTCGCAACCGGCCTCATCGCCGCCACCCGTCCCGAACAACCCGCTGAGCCTCGCCGAGTTCTCTTCCTCACTGACCTCTGGGCGCATCGACGCCCGAGACTAAGAGTTAAGTTCCCACTTCCAACCGCGTCAATATGCAGCCTAATGGATCGATAGGTTACCCAAGAGCTGCCTCCTCTGCAGACTATCCCGAGTACCCAATCCATGGGGCCAGGCACCGCGATCCAACCACGACCCTTCCGCCCGGGGTTACCGTCGATTTCCGAGGTTTTGAATCAGATGGGGCCTGCAAGATAGTACTCGATAGAACAAAACACTTGGTGGACTGGAATATTATGAGAGGGTTGTCCATGGGGAATTTAAGGGCAAAAATGGCAGATGGTATAGTGCTTCATGAGCCGGGCAAGATGAAGGGACTGCCAATGCTAGCACCCACAGGGTGGGAAGAAAGTCATGTCACGTTCTCTGAAGACAGCAGTATCTCCAGAGCTAATGGAAAAGTCATTTTGAGCCACCTCCTGAACCCTGGCCTCATATGCTCACGTCAGTGCTGTTAAGGTGGTGTCATCAGCTCAGATGAGCCAGATGCCAGTGCTTAGGGGGGTATCACTCGATTCACGCAGATAACTGCCTTCTCGCAAGGTTACGATGTTGGTGGAATCTCAAATTTTGTGGGAGTCAACTTGACGATCTTCTGGCTCAGTTCCCATCAAGGGCCGGGCTATAACTATAATAAAGAACAGATTGTCAATACATCATAACATCATGACCCGATGTTAACCCAGTGGCCTTCGGGAGTCAACTTGACGTATGCAGTGTTTGTCAATCTCAAACTTTCAACCTTGGGTCGTCATGGTGACCGGCTAGCCATCCCACGACAAAACAGAACAATGGCTGTGAGTGGCCCCTCGTGACAAGGTAGCGGGCGAAGGGGACTGAGCTTCAATAAGATTGGCATCGAGGTAGAGGTACTTGTATAACTTTGGCGGCCATGCATCATCTAGCACTGGGTGTTTACCGCGCCATGCTCTCTTCGACGGCAGTGGGGGATTTTCCTGAGGTGCTTACCTACAGAAGGGAGACCACTCCCAAGTTGAATGCTAAGTTGTCCATAGTTTGTTACATTTTGCCTCATATACCTTTGATCTAGACAAGCTTTTGTCGAAGCCAAGGTCATGGTCTCTTGCACCGACCCATTCTTCTCTCAGGGGTTGCGTTCAACATTATGCCTGAAAATGTCGTCTTTATTTCTCTACACGCCGTCACGACAGACTTGACACTAGTCACTTCATTGGCCTCCTGGTGCTTTGCCGGTTTCCTGTTGGCCCTGCAATGGCTCACGACCACGGATCAACTCGAAGACGAGAAAACGCCTAGATGGTTAACCGTGACGAAATGGCCCCTTTAGATCTAGTTCGGTCTCGATGGCGCAGGTATCGGATAGTCTGCCAACTTTTGCGTCATTCTTTGCACTATACTCATGGCGGCCTTTGCCTTCCTTGGAAACACGCTCTTCTTGACAATCCTAGTTGCCATGTCAACAAACACCTTTGGTCGAATCGTGGCCAGCGAGAGCGCCAAGATCAGATTCCACAGAACTGTCCTGGTCTTCGAGAGCGTTAAAAGCAATTCCATATTTTCATGCCCTCCTCTGCTGAATATTCTAGCATTGATCTCGCTTCTGCCGCTCGAGTTCGTTGTTTCTAGGCGATGCTTTCACACCATCAACGTTTTCCTAATACGATAATCAATGCTCCGAAATCTCCTTGTAATTAGCACGCTTGAACGAAGAGTCCAGGCTTCGAGGTCGCGAAACAAAATTTGTTGTTTGGATGGCACTTAATGGGTTTTCGCCTCATGGAGATGTCCAAGCGCTGTTCAAGGCGAATCCGACTTCATACATGTCCGACAAAATAAATCAGCTAGATCCATTGGATATCATTCCTGTTTCGTAGGCCGATGTTGTTACCACATCCCAGGCCGAGGTATCAAAGGCGAGGTTGCGGAGGGCGACGATGAGAGATGGGTGATTATCAAATACGCCCGCCAGCGTATATCCATAAAGAAGCGCCCCATTGAGGAAACATAATAACGTCATCACTTATCACTAGGGGCACTGGGGACTACGTGTATCCAATGGTCAGCGAAGCAGTACGTATATATACGACGCGTATCTAGCATGCATCTCTTTAAACAAACTAACAAGTGGGTAAGCTGAGACTATGACTATTAATAGTTATTATGACACGTCTTAAGTAGGGCATAAGCTGAGATTATTACGTCTGTTATTTGCGGATTTACCCACGAAAGCTCCGATTCGCGCTTAGGTGTAAGCCGAACTCCGTGTTTCAACGTCGTCACACTCGGTGTTGACCCGCCGCTCGGTAGTCCGAGTTAACCAGTTCCACCGCTGATGCTGAGTGAGTCGATCAGCAAAGTAGGAATGCCTACGGATCATACAGCTTATCAACTAGACCAGAAAGAGAAAGTGATTCGAATTGTTTATGCGCTGCGGACTTGGCAGCTTACGCGGAGTTATCGGCACATATCCGATCCGACACGAGCACGGAACATCGCTTGTCAATTTGTTGTTGTGAGAGTTGAGATTTAAGTGTGACGCTCTTGTAAGACTAACACCTAATGAGAGAGTATAAATACCGTAAAGGCCCCGTTCCACATACTGACTATTTGGTAACCAGCTTGCTTACCGCGTCGACTTCATCCATCTCGCACTTCATCCAAAATGTCTAACCAAGCATATCTCGATCAGCCTGACCTTCACGCTCGAGCACCATGGCGTTCAGCACTCTTGACCTTCCCCGGAAACCTGAAGGCAGCTCTGAAGGAAGCTCACGAGGATCCCTCAAAGACTTTGTTCGGTGTCGGACAAGGCATCCCAAGCCCATTTGTCACAAAGGTGCCATTCCGTAACCCATCACAAGATATGTTCCAGTTGCTGACAACTTGACAAGGTTATGGCATCCGCCAGACCCGACTTTATCTGGCTTGATGTCGAGCATGGCATGTATGACCGACTTGCCCTTCACGAGTATGAAATCCTTGCTGTACACAAAAGCTTCCTCTCACCCATGTTAGTTGTATCCATGCCGCCCAACATCACTCCGAGGGAAAGACCATGGCCATTGTTCGAGTGCCCAAGCACGACGAGGTCAGTTTGACGACGGCTCTCGATGCAGGTGCATCGGGCATCGTGATACCTTGCTGTGAGAGTGCAGAAGAGGTTGAAAAGATTATCAAGACTATCTACTACCGTCAGTTAATATCTTTGGGAAGAACTGGAAGAATGTTCACGTGGCTTACATCTAACAGCACCCGTTGGCCGACGCTCTTTCAGCCCTTGGGTCTTTACCCCCGGCATCTCCGATACCTCGCTATACGAGGAAGATTCATTCAACATGAAGACTGCGAACAGCCATATTGCCGTAGTTGCACAGATCGAAAGCGTGAAAGGAGTCAAGAACGTCCGTGAGATCGCCGCTGTCGAGGGTGTATCAGCCATGTTGTTTGGTCCAGGTGATTTCTCAGCAGACGCAGGAATCCCATTGAAGCTAGGCGGCGAGCCTCATCCTACGCTAGGTGCTGCCATCGGGGAGTGGGTGGCTGCTGGACGGGAGAATGGCATACCTCTTCTTGGGTAAGTTTGGGTGTATGATGCTTGATATTGTTGTTAATCTGTTTCTAGTGCTGCTATGGGCCCTGGTATGATTCCGGGCATGATAGAGCAAGGGTATCGAGGTATTGTTGTATCAATGGATGTTTGGGGTCTCGCCGGTATGGTTCACGGCCAGGTTGAACAGGGGAGAAAGGAAGCTCAAGAGGTAGGTAAGTCGTCTGAGATGAAGGAAAGCAACGGTGTTTGATTGTTAGAGCACAACCCGTGGTCTGCCTTCAAGAACGGGACTCGCGTGCATCTTGGAGTATAGACTGATATCATCGCTCGATTCGAGTTTCAAGACGTATCAAACAAACAACAAAAACCATTCATCTACCAGTCTCAAGTAAATACTTATCTAGAGAATACCACAATCGCGTTTAAAATCATCCAGCCACTGCGGACTATCCGCCGCAGTTTGATTCCAAGGATCGTCACTAAACAACGTAAGCATTACTGGTTTGTGCAAGAAAGGAATTAGGACTCACTCATTAAACAACAAGCAACGAGATTGATGCCTCAGTTCCTCGTCAGACGGAACGTGACAGTTGGGGTTGTTGGGTGACATTGTTGCCGTCACCCATCTCGCGAGCTCGCGCTTCAGCCATCGGTGGTGATTCGAGTCGTTCAGGATAAAGATTCCCGTCTTTAACCAGGCAGGTCGGAGACTAGAGTCGCCCTCACTCGGGCCTGTACCTGGTGTACCTGGGCTTTCCCCAGACCCGGTAGAAACGGGCCACTCACTAGTTGGAGCTGCTGGAAGAGGTGATTTGGCACTTCTTAGCGATGTTTGCGGTGCAGTTGAATGACCTAGCCAGGGCCCAACAAGGTCTGTTGAGCTGGTATGGCCGGTTAGAAGTCCGCCATGGTCCATGCCAGTGTCCGCATTATTCAAGCCCAATAAGCCGGTATTTGTCCAGTTTCTCGACCCCAGGTCATTCGAAAGAAGATCAAGTACCTGACGATCATTCGTCATCCAGGAGGGTAAAGAACTTGATCCGCTCTGGGGAACGCTGCTCCACAAGTCATCTCTCAAAAGCAGGTTTGCCCTTCGACGAAAGTCATGAAGCCAGTCAGTTGACTTGCTGATCAGCGTAACCAGCCAGTTTGCCACAAAGTCTGGAGTTGATCCCATGTCATCCTCCATGAGTGTGATGATCCTGCAAGCTTCTTTCTGTAGTTCATGATCTTGTACAACCAGGACTCCAGCGGCGCGTTTTGCATGGACAAATGCATGCAAGTGGGATTCGAGCGGACATGTCTCGAACAGTGCATTTTTACCCTTGATCTTCATGACGGACAACCTACTCTCGGCTCGTGAGCGTATAGGTCCGAAACGGGCTTGTTGAGTGATATCAGGCGAGGACAGAATGAGATCTCTCAACCATGAAAATCCACCACTTGAATCAGGATTCTCCTCAGGAAACATGACCTCAGATGCAAAGATAATGCGACATGCCTCTAGTTGCATCCTTTTGTTATTGGGCATGTCTCCTGTCGAGTCATAATGGCTCTGTATAAAGTACGCCAGCTCAATAGTGAGTAGCTCGTATGCACTCCGGGGAGAGTCTGGTGGTTTGCCACTGGCTTCAAAAGGAAACGGTGTCCCCCTTTCAAAATCGATCAAGTCTAGCGTCATCTGTCAGTCCTGCTCTTTGATCACTCCCAAGGCGATACTCACAGGGTGGCATGGCGTTTTCCAGTGTTTCTAGGATCAGCTCATCGAAGCCCCAGTTCCCAGACCAGTCTGCCATGGTGCAACCCAGTTTGAAATGGTTGGAAAGATGATCAACTCGGTCTAGCCAAGTCTCCAGCTCTGCCTTGCAGAACCCGCATCGGGATTTAATCTCCGGCTTCTGGGCCTTCCACAGCTTCAGGGAGAGGTCGATCAGTCCAGCGTTGTGGACTAACCTTAGGTGCTGTTTTAGATGATCTTTTCTACTGAACGACCGTTCCTGACAGGCGGCGGGATTGTGAGTGGCCAGGTGAGTTTCGCTAGGATCAACTTCACCGCAGAACACGCAGTACCTCTCGTCGTTTTCTGGGTTTACCGCAGTTGGTCCATGAGGAGAGCAAACCCATCGTTCAAGTGGCAAGTGCAGTGAGTTTTCGTGCCGCTGCCAGTCATACTTTGTTCGAAACGTCTCAGTACAAAAGGTGCATTGGAAGGCGTGTCGAGGAATAGCCAGAGATGTCTTTTGTGTTCGTCTCTTGCGATATGAACGGCCTCTGCTGAGAGACGAGGATGCACTTATTGAGCCCTTAGAGGATCTCGAGTCGGTTGAGGCGCTGGAGGTGGCAAAGCTGCTCGCTGAGGATGCATGACGTCGTCTATGAGTCGACCCTTCATCACTGGAGCCTGTGTGCCTCCGTGTCACTGACAGCGAGAGTTAGCATGATCATAACGGCATGATACTTTATACTCACAAGATGGCAATGCGTCTCTGGAAGCCATCGCCCGGGCAATAGCAGAGGCGGCAGCTGGTTCATTCTCAGGGGGTGAATCAACCCATCGCTGTAGAGGATCCATATTCCGATAGGAATTATTGCTTCGAGGAATTGGAGTTCCAGCTCTCCTCGATGTTTGAGCCGACCCAGACCGACCCCTCGAGGATGCACGAGTACTTCCATCCACGGCTCGACGCCTCCGGGCGTTGGCCAACCAGTTGGTCACTTGGGTCCGACTCAAGCCGGTCTGGCACTGTAGCATAGTCTTTTCCTCCTCACTTGGGTAAGGGTGTTCGCTGTGCTCAGAGAACCATCGTTTCAGGACACGGGCTGACTCTCGTGTGAAGCGATGGCCAATCTTGGGTGGGAGGGAAGGGTTCCTTGGGGATGCAATTGCGTTGGCGACAGCAGCGCTGCTTCCGGAGTTTGCGGAGTCGACAGAGCGACTATGAAGATGTCCTGTTTTCGATGGACCAGAACTAGCTTGGCCTGGGTCGCCATTGGATACAGTATCATTGTGTAGGTGTTGGTCTAAGACATCATTGATGTTTTCTTCAGAGGCAGAGGCAAGAGACGCAGACCACAGCTCGTCTATCGAGGTGTTAAAGAAGTCCGGGTGCGCCGGCTGAAAAGACGAATCATGGCCATCAAAACCTCCTTCGTCAAGTGGAAAGGTCAAAGCATCAAGATCCATCAAAGCACCAGGATCAAGATGCAGGTCTGAGGCCAAGGATTCGTCGCCGGGATCGGCGGCAAGGGTTCGGTGATGCGCATTAGCCATGCCGAAGCCGGAGGAGGAGTCTAGGGTCGTGCAAAAGCTAGCAAGGGTAATTCAGAAGGGAGATAAAGTATTAAAGATGGTCTAGAAGCTGTATAGAAGGACTTGGAAGCCGTGAATGTCGTATCAGCTGGTGAGCTGTCGAGTTCAAGATGGCTCGCTCACCACGAGGCACCCCCCCACTTGAGATTGGATGCGCTCCATTTTTGTCAATGTCATTCACGCCTTGTGACGCTAACCGAGGACGGATTGGAGATGGCATCACCTGGACTAGCGCTGAGGCTAGGATGGATTGAGTCAGTCGCGATAAGAGCTTGGATGATTGTTCAAGAGAATGAAGCAATAGCATTGCGAGTACAGAAATGGGTCAATGACCGCAAGAGTTTCCCATGATGCCACTCTTTCTCGAGCTTTCTAGCTCAACCCAAACTGGCTAAGAGGTGAGCTGCAAAACCTCATCGCGATAACATCTTGAGCAACACCCTCAAGTTCTCTCATTACGGCATCAATGACCTGCACCGTTTTGGCGGTTTGTGAGGCGACCTAGCATTAGATATGTCAGTCAAAACCAAGTTGGAGTTTTAGCAAGAGGCTCCCTGTTCGCTTTAGATCACCCAAGTCATAGTTTCCAAGGCACTGCCGCTCTCCGCTCCTTGTGTCCGCCATCTCCAGGAAAGGGCTGATCATGTACGTAGTCATGGCGTCGATGGCGGCGACAGCTGCCTTGAAGAAGCGGCACAGCGTCATGACTTGACCCTTGATATGGGCAATCAACTCGGCAGACCGAACGAGAATAGTATTAATATCCTCCTATTTCAATCTCTGATTAGTTTCTGGGTCCCGTTAGACGAGATGTAAATGTGCCTACCAGACTCATCTTGTTATTATGGGCAAGCTTGCCTACTTTCGCAATGACCTTTGTGATTCTGGGTGGAGAATACGTTCGTGAATGCTCTTCATTTCCTGAGCTTGCTTGAAAAAGCCCAATAACCCTTGCCCACGAATATCGATCTTCGGGCTCAGTTAACCCATCGAGGGCCGGGCTGTAACTATAATAAAGAACAGATCTTCAACACATTATAACATCATGACCCGATGTTAACACAGTGGCCTATTTAAACTTCTACAACAGCAGAAGAGTCACACCTAGCCATATCATCATGAAAGGTCTGGCCTCTCACGGGTATTGCCCACGAACATCTTTATCCCTATATTCCTAGCTACTCTAGTCCAATATAGTAGGACGGGCTTCCATCGCAGACCACCACTCTTCACCGGTCCATGTCGAGAGTATTCCAAGATTAAAAACTAACATAAGCCCAACAGGCATGATGCGGGCAAAGGACAACGCCGACCTTGCGGATGACTAGTATCATACATCGGCAAGCGCAAGGGACCGGAGGATCTCGTTCGATGGCGCTTTAGCACCGGGGCCGAAGTCAACAGTTAAAAAACCCCGCCGTGGCACCAAAGGATCATGCATATGGGCCTCGAGGTTGCGAGATCCAAATACATACACGTCAGGATACAGATGCCACGCTGCAAACATTCGCAGTATTTCTCCATCATGTACCTCTTGAGGCTGTCCGGATGCGAGATTCTCCATGATGGTTAAGGCGGAGAGCCATGCAGTGATTAAGGAAGCAACCCTCTGTGTTGCAGTATAGCTGTCGCCGAAGATGGGGGATATCTTCCAGGGGCCGAATTCCGCGTGCTGGAGTAGGGATTCAAGCTGCCTTTTCTCCTTTGACATGCATATATTGCCCATTTCAATCCATGCTCGCGCGCCCGAATCCCATATGGCGAGCCGGGAAGGAGTAATGTCTCGCCGTAATTCGATCTGCTCCAACCTCCGGGTAGCTACGAGGGTCTCCCAAGTGATCGTGGCGTCTTCGGCATCCGAGCCGGATGCTATGATGCAAGCGAGGAGATGCAAATGAACAACAGCTCTGTTGTGACTCCGGTCGTATCTGACGTCCGTCGCATCGGTGAGAGCACTACGTATCGAGAGGTCATATCCGTAGGAGAGCCCAGACGTAGCCAATCCAGAGATTTCCTTAACACGTTGTTCATAGGCAGAGAGGAAATTCGGAGTTTCCGGGCATATGCCCTCAAACAGATCCGCGAGGTCCCTCGCAGTCGAGAAGATTTCCAACTCCAGATCCTCGTCCACCTGCATTGGAGTATCTTGTTTAGTGAGGGCGGTGTCAAAGCCGAGGTTTTCTTACAGTCGCCTTTTTCAAACCAGCCCCCTCCATGGCCGCCCTCAACCGATCCATGACTCCACCAGACTCCGCCACGAGGTCCGAAGGCGTTGCTGAGGTCAGCGACTGGGCGCAGAGTTTGGGGCAAGTTCGTGGAAAGGGAGATGTTGAAACGCACAAGGCATGAGACGAACGGGACTCTTGAGTTGAGTCATTCTTCACTCAACCCCGCATCAATCACGCTTCTGCGCGTGTGGCTGAGCGCTCTTGTCTTCTCGGCTCTCACACTCGCCCAAAGTGTAGAAGCTAGCCACTCAGCAGCGAGACAAAGATATTCAGCCATCAGAGGTACCATCCAACGCCACAAGTCATGCAAAGCTGTTTTCCAGCCAAGTCCAGGGCAGAAAACCCACACACTCGAGGGTAGCCACGCCTCTGGCGCCTCGGCACTGCTCATGGGCGGACCAACATCACAGTTTCACTACACGATGTACCCATGACTGATTTCTGGCCAATGTCCATCAAATAATCGTGTTAGGACTCACACAGCTATCCATGTCTTTTTCAGATTTCCACACTCCACTTAGGAGTCCTCCTCATCCCTCACTCCAGATACACCCAAAATCGGGTCATCCTGGCTGAAGAGATTCTCATCGTAGATGCCCTCGACTCTCTCGCCCAGGTAAAGGTGAGAATCGCCAATGTAGAGCCAATCAGCCGAAGGTCCGTTGCTGAAGGAAGTGTGGGAGGGAGTCGGTGGTATCAGATTGTCAGTGGTGCCCGATGTCGATGAGTATGCCATGGAGCCGGGGCCAGTCGAAGTCTCGAGCCATGAGACACTGCTCTCTGTTTCCGGGCACTGCTGCTGGCCAACCCGCAAGTCTGCGGAGAGGGGACTCACGAACCAGACCGGGTCATTGTTCCGTAGAAATGCCGGACCTGTTGGTGGTTTGGAAGGGACTCCAGTGTTAGTGACGGGAGTTTGTTGCACCTCCTCCCTCGATCGAGTGTCCACGCTCGTCTCCTTGGCCTTCGAAGTTGTCTGGTTAGTATCTCCCAGCTGCTCACCACCTAAACACGCAGCCGGAAAATCGGCTGTGTTTGGATAGAGGCTCTCGTAGATCTTCCTCCAGCTCCAATAGGCCTTCTTTTCTCGTTGCCCATTCCCAGGTTGGCGGCGTTCGTTAATGGTGGTCGTCCAGGCCTTCCATCGATCATGTTGCTCCTTGCTCATCAAAGTCCATTTGGCATATTCTCTCCTCTTCTCGGGCCAAGGCTCCTCCTCGCATGTCTCGTGCTTTTCCTGCAGGCTTTCCAGGTCACCCTTTTTGGCCAGAGGAAGCTTCTGCTTGCATCGCAGGCATACATATTTGAGCGAGTGTACCCTAGACAAATGCTCGCTAAGATTTTTTTGCATGTTAACAAATGCCGTAGGAAGGTTCGCGAAAGACAACACTTACTTGAGTTTGTCTATTGCTTTAAATGTCTGATCTTTCCTGCAGCAGGGTTCTCCAACCTCATGGCCATCCTCGATGCATTTATCAGCATGAGCACGAATTGGACAGCGAAGCTTGAGATTAGGTTGATTGTTCATTGTACTGGGTTGTTTTGGGCTGTTCGGGGAGTATTCCGGTGGGAATGAAGGCGCATCCGTCACTTCCTGGCGTCGAGGAGTCCCTTGGGATGACATGCGGTCGCTTGGAGGTGTGCCTCCAAACAGAACTGTGGATATATCCCAGGACAGACAGAGGCAACGGTTAACCGCCCAAACTCCTACCGAAACGTGCGTTGATATTCACGATGCGGTTATCAGATCGCTGCTGATGATAACCAACTGCCTCGGAGGCTAAAGAGGTATAACCCCCACTAGGTTGTGGGAAATGAACCAAGTTCTCTGAAGGAACACCAGGGTCTACCTCATTTGCCAGCGAACGCTGAAACACAAAACCCAAGACGGTCGTATCGTTCTCAGGGTCGTTGTTGAGCAGACGCTGGATTTGGTATGGTTGCCTCTTATTCCCTGAGCCTTCAGTCCGAGGGTTTTCTGTTTGGACCTAGTCACGTCAGAAATACCATCTATAGAGGCGACGATGAAAGCCCAGTGGAAAGTTGAGTGCGCATGGATAGGCACTTACCTCTCTAGTGGACATGGGATTCTCAAGCCTTGGCGGAGTGGGAGTGGATTGTTGACCTTTGCGCTGTAGGAAAGAAGATGACGGCAATGAGGGGGGATGAGAGCGCTGGGTCATGGAGGATTTTGAGGAGAAACTTTCGCGCTTAAATAAATCAAATGAAATCATCGCAGCGATGTAAACTGATTTCACCTATATACGCCGTTGCGATAACATCTCTGCGATCTTTTCGAAGTGACAGGGGGGGTGAGATGCAGCTGTGGCGCCCAACTGTGTGCTGTCGTGGACCAACAATTGTCCAATAAGAACAGGTCTTTCTTGGGTGATTTTATGGTGATCTTGACCGCTTCTAGACAACCTCCAGAGAATGGGAACGTATGTGAGCGAGGATACAAAGGTATTCAAGCGGTGCGGTCAATGAACCCATTGTCAGCGAAGACTATAAGAATGGCGTTTGGTTCATGACAGTGTTCTTTGAAAACTAGAAAAAAGTCCAAAAGAAAAACAAGGTCGAGTCCCTTTAGACTTTTTATCTCTTTGTCTCTCCTCCTAAGTCAGGTATGTGGATGAATACCCCCGGTCTCATCCCAGTTATCAGACTGTTTGAGTATTGAGCATGGACAAGTCTGGTTCTGATATGTGTATACATGCATACTTAGCGCTTCTTCTTCTTCTAGCTTCATAGGTAAATGACACTAGAATTGCCTTTCTTTCTTCGAGGTGGTCGTTGCTAGTGCTGGGGATGACTTCGCCAAACATCATCCTCAGTTCCACACCCAAATAGCCAGGCTTAGATATAAGATAATGGCAATTATTACTTTGACAGTCATTCGAGGATGGTTTCTATTGCGCTTCGTCGTAGAGCCTTGTGAACTTGGGAGTGCTCGAATTATTAGCAAGGCAAGCTGAGCTAAGTGCCTAGATGTTCTTCGTTGCCTTGATGCTTTTGATGGCCGCTGAGCAACATTTACTGAAAAGAATTATCCCATTCAAAGGCCCTTGTGCCCAATCATGGTCAAGCTTAAGCGTAATGGTAGGTAGAGCTTATCGATACCGTTTTGAGTCAGTTGGGAGGCTCTGCGGGACAAATCAACACCAGTGACAAGATATCCTCCTTCATGCACCCTTCAGTTCTACTCAACCGTCTCAGACCCATCCATTTTTCTCCATCTGGATCACAGCAGTGATCACCAATGAGAGTACAGTGATTGAAATTCTCTGCGAGTCACTTTCGGGAGCTCAGAAGCAGTGGCGCGTTCCCGCCGCGACGAGAGGCCAGTTGCCCAGCACCCCTCATCCTAAGCCTTAGGATACCTACACGAAATGCTCGCGCCTCGTGATCGTGACGCGTTTTTCTCCTCCTCTTCTCTCTCATCTCTCTTCATTGATTGCCTCCGTCTCTCGTTCAACTCTCCTCAGTTTCTCCTCTCTCGGAGTGCGGCCGCATCGTGGTATGATACTCAGCTCGTGTGCGACCCTTGATCTCTATTGTTGCACTTCGCACTTCACCTCTTGTCAAAATGCCACCTCCGGCCGTCAATAACGGCATGCTCTCTGAGCTTCTCCAGACGGGAAAGTTCAGCGACTGCACCATCATCTGCCAGGGAAAGGAGTTCAAGCTTCACAAAGTCGTCGTCTGTGCCCAGTCTCCCATCATCGCAGCGGCTTTAGAGAAGGCCTCAAAGGTATGTCACCACTGGCATTGTTTACTTCGAGGAAACAGCGCAGTTTGCTAACCTTTTGCTCAGGAGTCACGGAGCAGCTCGCTGCACATCACGGGCTTCGACCTTGCCACAGTCGAATGCATGGTTGATTTCCTCTACCACGAGGACTACATCATCAACGGAGATGTCCTCGGGATGACCAACACGTCCGAGTGGACGCCTCCTCCCAACAACCAAGGTAACAGCCTTTCTCCTATGTGTCTTCTGTCTAGTGAATTCCGATTCTCATTATTTACAGTCAACGGATCTGGAAATACCGTGCTCGAAACTATGCCCCCAGGCCCCTCTCCTCCGACGACTCCTCCCCCGGCTGTAGTGCGCGATAGCCTCCTCTGCCATGTCGAAGTCAACGCGATTGGCCATTGCTACAAGCTGCCTAAGCTCTGCGATCGCGCAACCAAGTACATCCAGGACATCATCTCAAGCGACGAGTTCCCCGCCGATATCTTTCCCTACCTGGCCATTGCCGCCCACAAATCGAGTGAGGACGCCAAGCTCCATGACCTGGTCTTTTCCTTCGCCGCGGAGCATGTCCAGATCCTGCTGAACACCACCGGTTTCGAAAAGCTCGCAACCCTACCTGACTTCGGTTTGAAGCTGCTCCAAAAGACTGTTACCAAGCTACAGGTGAATGAGAATCAGCTTGCGAACATCCAGGATCAAAGCGTGCTGGATCAAGAGAGCATCGACAGACTCCAGCAAGACCTCTCTGGCCTGAGAGAGCGTTTTTCGGCCGCATCTGCAGAGTGTGAACTTGCCATCAAGAAGAACTCGGACTTGGCTATGGAACGCGACAATGCTCAACGTGCTCTTGACGAGGAGAGCAAGCAGAAGCTCGCAGCTGTGTCTGGGCGCGACCGCATCAGGCAGGATTACGAGTCAGAGAGAACCAGGGCAGCCACTCTGCTGTCCTCGCGCGACAGCTTTCAAAAGGCCCTCGACACTGAAAAGCAGAATTACGCAAAGTTGTGGTCTGAACGTGCCGCACTGCAGCAGCAAATGGCGACTTTGACCACCCAGCACAACAGTGTCACTGAGCAGAGAAACACAGCCAGAAATGAAGTGGCGGCATTGCAAAAGAAGATTGGTGACCTCCTCGCCATTTTGGAAAAGCGCGACTATTGCCGCAACTGTGGAAATGATTTCGGCTGCTGGATTGAGGATGTCGTCACAAGCTTCATCCTCCGTTGTGACAACTGCAGGTGCCGGCATTACAATTGAGGTTTCTTGACTGGCAAGCCAATGAATCATTTATGAGAGGTCTAAGCCATCGAGGGGGTGCTGGGTCACAAGTGTTCTGGAATATGTGGTGATGTCGCCGTGTGGCACGGGAATCTGTGGGAAATCATATGGCGGTTTCACAAGAGGCATCAAGGACGATCGTCCAATTTGACTTGTCGATTAGAGGCTGTGCTAGAAAAGATCTAACTGACATTGGCAGATCGGCCGCGGCTGTGAATGCCTAACTTGATTTCGTGAGGTTATGATGCATGAGGCTTGCTCCAACTCGGCAGGGGTGTCGTTCAGCTGGAGAAGATCCCAGCAGACGGCGCAATGAGGCGCCGATCAGATGTTCGCTTAACGGGAGAACTGGTGCTCCACAAGGCTTTCCAGCCAAGCCGTCGCAAAAATGTTAGCGTGCTATCTGAGCCAAGTGTCAGCCACTATGTGCACTGCAACATGCCAAGAATCACGGCGTGCCCCTTGAATGAGGTCAATGAGCCTAATTGAAACGATGGATCCTGAATATCTATCAGCCCTGCGAGGATATGGGTGCGGTGAGATGCAGTCTATTTAAGCTCACTTTTCCCAGTCTCTTAGTCGGCCTTTCGATCTAATTTTGTCCTCATTTTGGTCTTTATTTGGTGGAATCATTAATGTGAGCTACCCCATCACCACCAACTCATCTTCATCACACTCTCCACCGCCCTTAACTCGAAACGCCATCGCGCCTCAATAGATTGATGGCTGAAAAGTTCTCGACCCCAGACGCCAACCCAACGCTTACGCAGCCTCCCGCGCCCGTCATGGCCCCTCCCGAGAAGTCATCCGGTTTCCTCAAGGTCATCGCCTTCTTCGATCTGCTCGTCAAGCTCGCCGCGACGGGCGCCCTGTTCGGCATTCTCGTCATCCTCCTACGAATCAACTCTCACATCGGGGACGTCACCAGTGGCGACAAAACCATGGTAGTCAGGATCTCGCAACGATTCGACTCGACACCCATTCGCGTGTCGGCATCGCAGGAGGTGTCGGGAGGAAATTTCCAGGTCGAATTGACGAACAGCATCGACGACCCGGTTTATTTCAAGGTGGATCAATAAAGGACGATATGCATCATTATGGTTGTTGGTTGAAGTGCTCGGTGGTAGAAGGAAGAACACGGTCCCAACAACGCCGAACGCCGGACGGGGAGGTTTATATTAGCGATACACGCAGATACACGAATACCCATGCTTTACAGTCAGCAATTATCCATCATACATGTCTTTTGTCCCATGTGTTGGCTCATTGGAACGCGCAATCCTCTTAGACAGCAGCCACAAACGTTTTTCAACGGCTCCCCTCGACCCTGCTTCGGAGGCACCCGTTACAACGAGATCAACAAGCGAGGCGCCCGTCACTTTTCGGCAAGATGAATGATTCGCTAGGTGCCTGGAAACCATTTGATCTAGAGTCGATAGTCTGGTGAAATATTGGCTTCAGCTGCGCGCTAACAAGCAAATACGGGTCTGCAACGGCAGCGGCTTGCCCGGAAGTGATTAGCCTTGCATCGAGAGATTGCGAACAACCAACAACACTGACATTTTTATCTTGTCGGGGTATTCATAAGGATCAGAGATCGCCCCTTCTTGTGTTTCTCAAGCAGTCGCTCGTTGTCTCTCGCTTGATCATTTGTAGCTTTTGCTATCCGTCACTCGTTAATTTATTCCATTCGCAATGGCTCGTCACTTTGTCGCCCTCCTCGCGGCCTTTGGTGCCCTCGGCGCTAATGCTGCCGTCTGCCGGCCCTCTAGCTTGACGACCGTAGCCACCACTACCACAGAGGCATCTTCAACCGTCAGCGTGGGATCCTCCACGGTTACCGAGTCCTCCACCGTCAGCATCGAGTCCTCCACAACCATCACCGAGGCTTCTACCTCCACCCAGGAGTCTTCAACCATCGCCAGCACCACCGCCACAACCTCTTCCGCTGAAGTCTGTGTCGAAACACAGATCCTTGTCAACCCCAGCTTCGACGACAATGACAACGGCACCCCTTGGATCTTTGGCGATGGAACCCAATTCTCCAGCGACCTGTCCCGTTCCCAGCCCTACGGCGTGTATGTCATCTCACCCTAGCATCCGTTGACAAACAGAGAGAGACTAACAACCCGACCAGCCTTGCATCTTTGACCCAGGCCGCCAGCACAAGGCAGTTCCGCCAGACCATCCCCAGGGTCAGCCCTCACAACTACCGGCTCCAGTACTACTTGATCAACTACAGCGCCGTCAGCGCGCCCTCTTTTGCCTGCTATGTTACCCCAAGCATCAACGGTCAGGAGCTCGCCCAGGGCACACAGGTCGGCACCTCGGGCCAAATCGGCTGGAACCAGGGAGAAGCCTTCTGGAGCACGCCCAGCGAAACCGAAGATGCTATCGACGTCGATGTAGTGTTCAATGTCAGCTGCGAGGGCTCCTTCTCTGTTGTCCTTGTTGTCTTGGATGACACCAGCCTCACACGCGTGTGCAGCGCCCAGGACTGAACAAGACCTGCTCCTGATAGGTAACCAGGGTGGAGGGGTGGTAAAGATGGCAGCTGATTTAATTTCTAATGAAGAATCGGTTCATCACAGTTGCGACTTGACTGCATGGGACATGTGCAATACAATAAGCTCTAACCTTGCCAAGGTTTACTCACACTATTCAATTGGGTGATGGTGGGTGTATCTGTTCTAGGATGAGCGTCCTCTGAAAGTAACCACGCGCAAAGACAGAGATGAACGATAATTGAACATACTTTCATAAGCATCAAATGAGTCTAACATATCAGGAATCAAGATGTCCAGTTAAAAGTAGTGTATAACGTTATCTTTTGCTGTCATGAATGACAGTCTCTCGCAGACGCGTCATTGTTGACAATCATGAAAGTGGTGTCCGCTTCGAAATTACGCTACAAAGAAATGTCATAACTGTAATCTGGCCTGCCCAATCATAACCCCATAGATGTCCATTCTACTGTGTTCCAAATGCTCTGCCTGTCTCAATCTTGACAAAGTGGAAATGACAAAGTTGTTGATTCCTCGTGTAGTCGATTGAAAGCCACGAGTACTCTCGCGTGTCCCATCTTGTGACTACCCTCTCGACTGGACTAATGTAGAACGAGAGGGCTGCGAAGGTAACAAGAATCGTCTTCTAGAAACGAACCCGCGTCAAGGCTAAGCTGGGTTCACTCTAACCCTGGAAGCTTCCTAACTGGTAGAATGCTCTCAAGGCGTGCAACCACTACACGCGAATTCCGTCAAGTAAGGGCTCTATTACTACAATTATCTAGATAAACCAAAGTATTTCTTATTGTGAAACCATCATATCTTATAATAACGTAATTGCAAATCTGAGTGTTTATGTTTATGTTTATAGTATTGTCGGTAATCATCAAACGCTTGCCCTTGGTGTGCAACGCCACGAGAGGGGATCGACAGTGCATGCTGTGCTCAACCCCACCAGCGCGACAACTCAACGTGAAAAAGCATTATCAGGTACACATATCATGTATTTTTAAGGTTATCTCACATGTGTCTGCCCTTTCGGGGTTGGCAACCAAGTTGCTTCTCCGATGGCCTGCAGGGCTACCCTATTCCCGACTGCAAGGATGCTGTTCCCGGTCACGATTACGTAGCATTTGGCGCTGCAGCACGGCCCAACGGATCCATTTGTCCTGGAATGAAACCCAAGCGAGAACACGGGGGCGGCAAATAGGTAGCTCACGCACTCCAGACATTGACGACGTCACGCGGAGAGGGAGAGAGAGTAATGGTCTTAGGCAAATCTCATTCTAACTGTTATATGACTTGATGTCTAGGCTGTCTAAACAGGAACAAAAATGTCAAGATGCAACTATTCCTTTCTGTATAGTTGTGTTGTTGTGTTGTGTGTGTATCATGAGCCAAAAAAAAGTGAAATGTGTACCCCCCTGATTTGATCCCGTGCCGAGGCCCCCCGGTGATGATGGTCCGGCGGTCGGGAGAAACCGTGGTGGCGCTCGGGGGGTGCACGTGATCACCCGGGTCGAGACCGTGGACCGGCCCCACTCGGGCCGAAGCAAAACGCCGAGAAACTCCGGATGCGCAAGAATGTTGATTGAGTGTCGTGAGAGAGTGGCAAAAGATGCCAGAGCGATGTCAGGTGATTGATTGATGTTTCCATCGCTATTGTATTGTCATCGATCGCCAAGGTGTAGTTTGGGAGGGAGAAGGAGGAGGATGTTGATGTGTTGTTTTGTTGTTTTAAGGGGTGCTGACGCCCAATCCCCGAAGTCGGCGGCCTCTCCATTTTTTCGCTCAGGCCTTCCAGGCAGCCAGGTTACCCAGCATGCCACGGATGCTGCGGCGGCTCTCATCGACAAAGGCAGGAGAGTCCTGGCCTTGCTCGACCTTGGACTCGACGGCTGTGAGGACGCGCATGTGCTCCCTCTTGAGGGCCTCGAAGTCGTCGTCCAGTTGCTTGTGCCACGGGTACAGCACACCCACCTGGAAGCTGAGCGCCGAGCTGGCGACGACAAAGTTGGTGACGGAGAGAGCGCGGGTGATGATCATGTTGACGGTTGGAGGATTGGTCTTTGTTGTTGTATTTGTTGTTGAAGTGAAAGGTGTTGACAGCCTAGACACGCAAGAAGAAACAGTAGAGAGATGTGAGTAAGAATAAATGAAAGGAAAGAATACCGAGGAGAGAGAGAAAGAAGGAGAGCTCAAGAAGAAGGAAAAAAACCCAAACGCCATTAATAAAAAAACCCCGCAAGCGGTGCGACGTTTCCCGATCCAGCCAAAGAGGTAATCCTCCCGGGGAGACGGGGGGGAATAAACAGGAATCTTCTGGTTCTGGGCCTCGAGCCTTTGCATGGATGGCTGAGGTTTGACAAGTCAGTTGACCGGGGGTGTGGGGGGTATTGTTGGAGGCCGAACCGAACTACGGATTCACATGTCCGTATTGCAATGCAACTTCATGACTCCCCACAGGGGCAAGGATGATGACTCTTGTGTTGAAGTTTTTTTTAGTTGCGGTTTTCCTTGGGCAAGTTGGAGTGTTTGTCTGTCTCTTGTCATTGCACTCTGGGACTACGTCTTAAACCCTCTCACACGATCAATGCCAAGGGGCCGTTGAGCTAGACAAGTGGAGGCCCGGCAGCTGACAGGATCCGCACGTGTCTAGGCTGCAGGGTCTGGACATTACTTGGTCGCTATTCCCGACCCTAGTCCACGTCCAACCCCAGAGTCACGGCCCATAGCCGGCCTACATGCCGACCGCATACCCACTTGGGAACCTCCTCGGTCACGTCACAGGCCGCTCTTCGATATCCATATCCCCGGGATCATGTATCCCTGACCCGCCGACCCAGTGCTCCATCGTCAACCCCGACCGGAAGTGCGACGCCAGGTGATCCGCCCGTTCCTCCCAGCTGTCCATCATCACCTGGCAGAAGCCGCACTTGCTCCTGATCGCATCTTGGCGGTGCTGGAGAAGGCTCAGGTCCGGCTTCCACCCGTCCCATTTGCGGCAGCCGTGGAACTTGTGTAGATGCTGCCAGAGGTGATCTTTGCGCGTAAACTTGCGCTCCGAGACTGGTCTCTCAGCGCAGGTATCGAACTCGTGTGCCTGGATGTGTTCGTCGCTTGGTGAGTCGTCGCCACAGAAGAGGCATTGCGGGCCGCTCTCGTTGACCCGCCAAACGAGGAACGACTGATCGGGAGAGACGGGAAGCGAACAGATCCACGCGTCGAGACCGGGGAGGTGAATGGATCTCTCGTGTCGCACCCAGTCGTACTTTTTCTTGAAGCTCTGTCGACAAAACGTGCATTGGAAGCCCACAAACTTCTTGCTTTTTGACCTCGATGATGTAGGTCGTGACATGGAAGGGCCTTCGCCCGCTGAGCTGTTGGCAGAGTGAGACAGAAAAGTGTTTTCCCTTGAGCGAAACGAATAACATGAAGACGCCGAGTTTGATGAAGCCTCTTGAAAGGCAGACTGCCAGAGCGATTCGTTGCTTACAGACGAACCGGGAACATCAAATATCCCCAAGTCGTAGCCCTCGAATGAGCTGTGAGCGCTGGATTGAGCAGAGAGAGCGTCCTGGATGGCGGATGCGGAGGCCCCTTCCTCTTCAGGAGGTGAGTTGCGCCAGCGATCCATAGGCGACATGTTCTTGCGGAGGTAGTGAGGCATGGGTGATCCCGGTGCAAATCCTTGGCGACCGCGACCTGGAGATTTAGAGTAGGCTGACGATAGTCGGTGTCGACGCCTCGTGTTGGCGAACCAGTTGACTACTTGGCTCCGACTGAGTCCGGATTGCTGGGCGAGACTGACCTTTTCTTCCTCGGATGGATAGGGATGGTCAATATGGGAGATGAACCAGTTTCTGAGCACTCGCGTCTTTCGCACAGATCGCGTATTCGCCCTTTTGCCGGACAATGCAGAAAGTGAAAGCTCTTGAGGTTGTGACTGGCCACCTTGGCCTTCCTGGATCGTTGTCGGCACACCCAGAATGTTGTCCTCACTCACGCCGTGAAGATGACCGATGACTGGTTCAGACGTCTCAAAGGCTGAAGGTTCCCGCTTCTGACGCCCAGAGAGACTGCACTCGCGGAACAGGGCGACACAGCTGGAGCATGACTTGGTAGGGTTGGGATTGTCGACGGTGGTGTGAAGGATGAGGCATTGGAGTCGTCGTCGGCGACAGTTTGTGCAAGGCGCGGGAGGCCGAGATGCACCATTCTTGATGAAGAACTCATCAATTGTAGTCATTGGCGTTTTGATCGGGTCATTATTGGTTGGTAGAGGTGGTGGATTACCCCAGTCGAGGGCGGGCTGATTAAGAAATGAGAAGTCATCCGCGGGAGGACCGGTCACGGCCCTGGCCTGCTGAAAGTCGGAATGCCAGTCGATCTGAGCATTCGGGAAGCCCGGACTGGGAAGATCGAGCCCGCTGCTGGGGTTTGAGGTGTGCGAGAGCGCGTCGATATGGCTGTTGGCGCCTGCGAGTGAGTTTGAGGAGCTGCGTGATTGAGGGGCAAGATCATCAACGTCGTCGTACGGAATGGCCAGTTCGGTGTTGTCACCGCCCGAGTACAAGATGTCGTCGAGTGAAAGCTCCATCCTCGCATTGAGTCGCTCAGTCACAGAGTGAGTCTGTGGTGAGTGTCGAGAAATGAGTCGACGATGTGAGAGCGGAGTTTCGCGATAACGTCACGCGGCGAGGATGGTTGGAGTTTTGGGCTTAGTCACTTTGTTCGAGTCAAGATGGTCTAGACGGAAAGGAGAGTCTCACAGAACCAGCCAATGGGCACAGACTGTTGCCGCCTTGATGTCCATTGTTCGCATTCGAGTCAATCATTTTGTAAATTGTTTATTCTCATTTTATCCATCTTTCGTTGTTTGAGTCTGGAGGTGCAATTTTCACGCACTCTATGGCGTTAGCGGGAGGTACTTGGAGGGCGCGCTGTGGCTTGGAGAAGTGCCCACTGAAGTGATTCCTTACGTTAGGTGGTTGGAATAGCTGGAAAAGAAGGAGAATTTACTCGCAAATGGAAAAAGAAAGCCTTGTTATTGTAGCCCTTGATTCTTTTAGTAAATAGCGAAAATTGTTGTTACTTTGGTTAGCATTTGCCCGCCTCCAACCCCGCTGTAGGTCGCGTTAGCAGTGTTGACGGCCTCTAGACAGCGCTATTGGTCGGTGATGCTCGACTCATGCTTTACCTGGCCAAGGCTACCTACTCAATGGACCATCTTATAAAGGAAGGTCTCTTTGAGTTTCCAAGTGGAGCCCAAGCTGATAAAGTGGCTCGCCTTCTCACTCGGTTGCATTTCTTCGGCATGTTGCCAAGTAGACGTGTTGGCCAACTTGACCAAGGCCATTGGAGCCTCACAATGGCCTGCCCAACAGCTTCACCCTCACAGAATGAGGCTGATTCCCATGTAAGAAACTGTCGGACTTTTTATCTTCCGCAATTCAGCCCTCCCTCCCAATCTGCCTTGTAAGCCAGGCTCCAGCACTTATCTTCAACCCCTTCCATTTTAGAGGCTTCCATGTTCTGGCTCTTCACCTCGATCAGCGACTGGTATTCCCGCGGCCAAACGGTGTAGTTTTGCAACGTTTCTGACCGATATGAACCCTCAACTAGAGACCGTGATCACCATCTCAGGCCAGCGAGCACCCAATCGCGACCCCGTGAGCGCCTCAGAGATATTTCCCAGCATAGACCCTCAAGCCCTTCAAGTACCACGGGACACGCCGAAATTGGAGTATGATCCTCTCCCAAACTCCACCAGTTTTCGTCTACTTCAGATCTTGTCGGATGGCGGTCAAGATATTCTGCGATGCAGGATGTTTGATGCAGACCTTGCTGCCCAAGACACTCCGGAATATATCGCCTTGTCGTATACCTGGCATGAAAAGAGTCTGCCCAACCTATTCCGGCCCGTGTTGATCAATGAAAAATACCTGGCCGTTAGCCTGAATCTCTGGAACTTCCTCCAGAACTACCGCCAGACAGCCGGCGAGCGCATCATTTGGATTGATCAGATATGCATCAACCAAGACGACCAGGATGAGCGTGTCCAGCAGATCGGGCAAATGTGTGCAATATACGAGCGCGCCTCTATGGACGTTTTCTGGATCGGCGAACCGGATGAACACACGGAGGATGTCATGGACATGCTAGAGTCGCTGAATCGTCTGGAGATGTCCCACTTGGCCTCAGGCCATCGGCATCCTGGCATTGACGCTCTGCTTAACCCTATCTACATGCATGCTGTTGGATTGCCAGTCTATCCCTCCTCAAAATGGGGTGCTCTTATGCATTTCATTTCCCGGTCAGCATTCGAACGCGCCTGGATCATCCAGGAAGTCGCCGTCTCTCAGAACACGGCGATATTCTGCGGGTTATTGGTGCTACCCTTCGACATTCTTGGAAGAGCCGCCACATTCCTCGTCGAAAGTTTTTGGATCACTCATCTTCACGGCCAGTACAAAGTGTCCCGTGCCACGGGATTTCTGACGGTCATGATGAACTGTCGCTTGCGGCATCAGCAAGGAGAACGTCAAAGCCTGGATCTGTTGCTGGCCTCGACCCGGCGTTTCAAGGCTACGATGCCAGTCGACAAGATATTCGCCTTGATGAACTTGTCCGAGAGTCGGAGGTCTGAGCCTCTGCCACCTCTACTTCAGCCAGATTATCGAAAGTCAGTTGTCGAGGTCTTTCGGGATGTCACTCTTCACCTTATCAGCCGAGGCTCCCTCGATGTGCTTTCCGGTATTGAGGATGCGAAATTCCGGCATTTTCATCAACTTCCAAGTTGGGTACCCGACTATAGTGTGCATCAGGTTGTTTCTATCCTTTCTATGCCACCCAGGAGCGGACAATTGACCCTGTACGCTGCTGCTACAGCACGACACGTCGACGTTCGACATTCACCCGCCGCCCCAAACACCCTGGTTCTGTCCGCCTACATATTTGACACCATAGAAAGGATTGCCCCCTTGACAGACCACGCAAGCCAGCTCAGATTGGAGAATTGGGGGAGACTTCTTGACTTTGGGGCACGATATCCGTCTGTTAATGGAGAATTTGGCACCATGATTGACGCATTCTGGCGCACGTTGATAGGAAACATCGGCCTAGGGATGCACGAGTATCCAGTTCCACAAGAGTGGATTGGACATTTTGCTGCATTTGCATCACAATCTCGGGAGGAACTCTTGGAGTACCTTGCGAGCTCGCATGCAACTCTAAGGGAAGAAGGCGATATTTCCAGCTTGACCCCTGGCATTGACTCAATACTTGACGGGCTACGAAATGTTCTTGCTCCTGATGGATTCCTAGGAAAAGATAGCAAGAGGTTTGAGAGTACTGTGCACCATGTGTCATGGTCCAGAAAGCTCTTCATTACCAAGACTGGGTATATAGGCCTGGCACCTCCTTCTGCCCAGCCCGGTGATGCAGTAGTCCTTTTTTCCGGCGGGCGTGTGCCGTTCATTGTCCGGGAAGAGATTTCGGACAGCTCCAAGTATTACCGTGTCGTGGGAGAGACCTATGTTCATGGGATTATGGATGGTGAACTGTTGAGCGTTATCGAGGGTGATTGGGAAGACTTGAGCTTCCAGTAAGCAAATGTATCCATTAAACTAGCGATGCAGAGGGAATGCAGCTCTTCAACAATCTTTTTTGACAATCGAACACCTAACATTACAAATAAACTCTATTAAAGTCCTACTCATGCGCCATGTGCTTCCTCCTAGAGTCCAGTTCAAAGCCTCAGTTGGCTGGAGCGACAAGGAACCGTAACTCGGCAATGAAAGGCCCGTTTTCCATCACGACATCGCCCCGGTGCTCGATGAACTCGCTTGCCAGGTCGACCATGCCACAGACCTTCATCTTGTTGGGAACCTGGAATGATTCTTCTTCCACCGCTTCTCCTCTAATCTCGTCGCCGCCAGTGCCAAAGGGTCCAAGGGTCCTTTTCGTGGTGGTGATGGTCAAGTCGAAGATGAGTTTCTTCCTTGTATCCTCAGCCAATAACCCCTTCTTCCATGTCGCCCCTGTTATCAGCTCATCGTTCTCTAGGAAGATCTTGTCCTCGGTACCCTCGTAGCTGAACTTTCCATATGACGCACCATCGTAAGCCCCCGTCTCGGCCCAAAGCGAGTTCACAGCGAAACCGTGGGATATGTCGAGCCGAATGATGTTTGTGGGAGCCGCTTTCTTCAGCTCAAGAATAAGGTCGCTGAGGTCAGGATCTTGGCCCAGATACTTTTTTTGGTAGATCCGATCATAATCTCCCACCCTTTCCAGAGCTTCAGCAGGAGCTTTGTCGTATGCTGCGATCAATGACTGGGCGACGGCGTCGAACTCCTTGCGAATGTCAAACGATGAGGCGGTCTCGGGGTCATCTGCTTGCTTTGAAGCCTTGACTGCAAGTTTGGAGATGCTGTTCGAAATGGTCTTCATGATGGTTGAATGCGCGCACGCGTTCAGTCGCAAGGGTGCCACGTCGTGAATGGGTTTCGTAGAGTCTTCGTAGGCGAGGTCGCCATCGAACAGCTCCATCCCAATCATGACAACAGTACAGTTTCCTTTTCCCTGGAAGAAATGGCCTAGGCGAGCCCACGGAAGAAGGCGGCTGTACAGAAAAGGAGATTCAGGTGTTCTCGCAAGGCGGAAGCAAGAACCGAGGCGCATCCGAGCATATATAGGATAGTTACGGGGATCCAGACACAGCGTGGCACTGATGTAGTAAAAGAGTGACGACGCTCCAGCAGACGCGTTGCCAAGTCCCACGAGGGAGCACAGGAAAAACCATTGTGCATGGGAGAGGAACTCGCCGACACTTTCGGGGCCATGATACTCGAAGCCTCCATCAAACACCATGTTGGTGAAGGTGTCAGGCAAACCGAAAACTTGGTCCAAGGTTGTGCCTTGAGCAGTGGCGATGGCTGTCACCGCCTCAAAAAGCGTCTTTGCACTCTCTTCGCATGACTGGGAATCCTTTCTGTGTTGTTCATAGAACTGCTGAGCTTGTTTTGTTAAGCCTGTGTATCTTTGGCCGCGCTCGAATGGGCCCATTTTTGGGAGAGCCATCTCGAGAGCAGGAGTTCGATGTTAGGCGGCGTTCGATTGGCGTTGGCAGCCAGAATGGTGATCAGAGGCCAGTGTGTGAGTAATTAGATTCCCTTTTTGAAATGAGAGTCCTCGAATAAAAGCAGTGAAGAGAAAGTGGTCGAGTTAAACAGCAAAGGATGGACAGGCCTCTTGTATTAAGCTTATTTTTGGGGAAATCTGCCTTGACCAGCCGCCATTTGCGACCCGCTGCACGCTGTGATCCAGGCCCCTCGGGCTGAGGAGTTGGCGTATTACAGCGTGTGTGATTGGTATGGCTATCGCCTAAAGCAGTTTTAGCGGTCAGATTCCCCCAGTGGCTGCGGCCTCGTGAGGGTCTTCAGTTCAGCTCCCGGCACTATTGGGGTGCATTGCATTAGCATGAGGATAAGGATAGCAATAGAACTTGTTCCAGATTACATTCCCTTGCATCAGAATTTTCTTGACAGTACGGGAGGGAGCCAACTTCGACATCGAGTATCTACACGACTGCGATGGGGTAGAAGAGTGTCTCGAGGGCTTGGCGAATATCGGAATATGCGAGTAGTGATGATGCCGAGGCCGGTTCCTCATCTGCGGGGCATCGTTTGCTGTGGATCTTGGTCGTCGCCTTCAACTTGACGAAGGTAGACTCCCAATGTACGCAGAAGGCGCATCGCCCAATGTTGACATTCATCAATGATTGCCCCCTCTGAAGATATTTCAAGTATAAATATCTCTCAAATCTCCTTGGATAGTGAGGAAAACATCTCAACTTGGATCTTTGGGTCGAGAGCTGAGCCAACCTTCATCGCTGCCTCACATCCACCGTCTGAAAGAGCCCTTTGCTCTTGGTCAACCCAATCACCGTGAATCCCTTCGTTCCCTTCGTTCCTTATTCACCCCTTTTACTTCTCAGAAACTGCATTTCCCTGTCATAATGGCCACAGCTCGTCGCCCTGTTCACTTCAACCCCAAGGCCAAATCATGGACCTCCCCCGCCCCCTCCTCGACGGACGTCATTGATCGCTTCCACCAGAGCCTCCCCGACTATCAACCAACACCACTGGTCAGTCTGGAGGGTGTCGCCAAGGAGATTGGTGTCGCTGCTGTTCATGTCAAGGATGAGACCAACCGCATCGGCCTTCCTGCTTTTAAGATTCTCGGCGCTTCTTGGGGCGCGTTCCGCTCCATCACGCAGAAGCTGGGGCTGCCTCTTGACTCTAACATTGAGACTGTGAAGAAGGCTGCTGCATCGCATAACTTGGTGCTGTACGCTGCTACCGAGGGTAACCATGGTCGTGCAGTGGCAAGGATGGGTGCCATCTTTGAGATTGGTGCCGAGATCCATGTTCCCTCGACTATGCATCCATCTACCGTCAAGCTCATTCAATCGGAGGGTGCTACTGTTGTCATCAGCAAGGGAAGCTATGATGATGCCGTCTTGGAAGTTGAGACGGCCTCAAAGCACGAGAAGGGTATCTTGGTCCAAGACCATGCCTTTGGTGACTACGAAGATGTCCCTCAGGTCAGTTTTCCTCTTTCAATCAAGGCATAAAAGGTTCTGACGAAAATAAAGTGGATCGTTGATGGCTATCTCACCATGATGCGCGAGGTAGACCAGCAGCTCGGCTCCTCTGCTGCCGACTTTGTCTTTGCCCCTGTCGGCGTTGGTTCCTTCGCTCAAGCCGTCACCTCCCACTTCAAGAGACAAGGCACTTCGACCTCTGTCGTTACTGTCGAGCCAGACACAGCGGCTTGTCTGTGGAAGAGCCTTGAGAGGGGAGAGTTCACCACGATCCCAACATCTGGCACCATCATGGCTGGCCTCAACTGCGGCGTCCCATCGACCATTGCCTGGGATTTGTTGAAAGATGGCGTCGATGCCAGTCTCACGGTTTCGGACTTTGAGTCGCATCAAGCCGCTCTCTATCTTCAATCGCAAGGGGTCGAGGCTGGACCATGTGGCGCTGCGTCTCTTGCTGCACTCCGCAGACTGACGCCCTCCGATAAGGAAACCCTTGGTCTAGATGGAAAGTCGGTCGTCGTTCTCTTCTGTACAGAGCGTAACAGAGACTATGACATTCCCCGCGACGTCTCTAGCGATGACCCCGTCGCCCTCACTCAGACCCTTGTCCAGATCAACTCGGCAAGCCCAACGCTTGGCTCCGTACCTGGTCCTGGCGAAGTAGCTATCGCTCGCTATGTCACAGCTTGGCTGGAACACCGAGATCTGGAATCCCACTGGATCGAGTACACCAAGGGTCGTCCGTCGGTTGTTGGAGTCGCGCGTGGTTCTGGCGGCGGCAAGAGTCTGATGTTGAACGGACACATCGACACTGTTACTCTGATGGGGTACGAGGATGACCCTCTCAGCGGCAAGATCGTTGATGGGAAACTTTACGGCCGTGGAGCGGCTGACATGAAGTCTGGAGTCGCAGCCGCAATGGTGGCTCTCGCCAATGCCAAGAAGCTCCGTCTTCGAGGCGATGTCATCTTCACTGGTGTTGCCGACGAAGAAGATGCCAGTATCGGAACTGAAGATGTTCTGCGTGCAGGCTGGAGGGCTGATGCTGCCATAGTGTCAGAGCCAACAGACCTTGCTATCCTCCATGCCCACAAGGGCTTTGTTGTGCTGGAGCTTACAGTCCACGGTCTTGCGGCACACGGTTCTAGGGCTGATCTTGGTATCGACGCTATTGTGAACGCTGGGTATTTCTTAGCCGAGTTTGGAAGATACGCTAAACAGCTTCAAGAGGGTCCTGCTGATCCAACTTTGGGAACTGGCACTGTTCATGCTTCTATCATCAGCGGAGGCGAGGAGTCGTCTTCTTACCCTGCACTCTGCACCATCACTATGGAACGTCGAACAGTCGATGGAGAAACGCCGGAGACAGTGGAGCAAGAGATCCGAGAGGTCATGGCAAAGGTAGCCAGCGAGGTCCCCAGCTTCAAGGCCGACTTGAAGATCACGTTCAGTCGTCCCGCTCATTCGACTCCGCTGGACCACCCTTTCACCAAGCTCGTGGCCGATATCGCAGGCAAGGCTATAGGAAAGGACGCCACTTTGGCTGGGGGTACATTTTGGACCGACTGTGCCCTTCTGTCTCAAGAAGGTATTGTGCCCTTGCTTTGGGGTCCGAAGGGCGAGGGCCTTCATGCGAAGGAGGAATGGGCGGATGTGAATTCTATAAAGGTCGTTACTGAGGGCTTGACAAATCTTGCTACTGAATTCTGCAAATAGTATGGGAAATATGCATTAGTAGAGGATATCAATACAAGGGTTCACACTGGCAACTTGGTGCTTCTCCGAGTTGTCGTTACAAAACGACCAGGCGCCACTTTGACCCTCTATCTCTGGTAATGTGACATGTAGTATCCGAGATGAATCAGCGGTGAGGACAAATGTACATGTTCTTTTCTTTTTCCGTCTATCTACATCTCATCTCGCTCTTGGTGGAGTGACATGATTTCTAAGATCTCAGCATCTGCATGTCACGACGCAGGATCGTGCATGAACTGTTAGAGGTTC